TCGGTTACATTCTTTCTGCAGTGAGTGTCCCCTCAGAAATTGGGCCAGCCCCCCCCCCCCAAGTTTTGCCAAGTGCCCTTTTTCCGGGAGCAAAGTGCCCTTTTCTTGCGTGAAAAATGTCTTAAGGATTGCCTTTTTTTGCCCAAAGAGCAATTTTGAAAACTTGAATTTATGTTATTTTCCAGAAAATTTTATTCATTTCCGGGAAAAATCTGATATATCCGGAAAACTTTTTGGTATATCCGGAAAAAATTCTTCATATTTAGTTAGGAAAAAATCTGATATATCCAGAAAAATGTTTTTTGGTATGTCCGGAAAGAGTTTTTGAGACCTCCCCCCCGTCGCCAACTTTTCCGGGAAAAAATTTTTAGATGCCCCTTTTTATTCGGAAAGTGCCTGCCCCCCCCAACTTTTAGAAGCTTCCTACGCCCCTGCTCGTCCAATAGGGAAACGTGCAAGTGAGGCACAGTTCAACATCAAACAAAGGTCTTCTATTTTGTGGCTTTGAAATTTGCGAGGCTTCCAGACCATCATATTTTAACAGAGTGTAATGCACGGCCTTTTTACGAGTCGGGAGTTTTCACGAGTTTTCAACTAGGGGTTCGACATACGTTACCACAGAGATAACCGCTTCCATTTAGTCCTAACGGTGCCGTCCTTTCCACTGAAATTGAGAAGTTTGAAACTTGTCAATTCAACCAGACTGTTTAACTCGCTTCTTTATATATTCGCCTTTATACGTATATACATGATTGGATATAAATATAAGCGTAAAAACGCATTTTAAGTAATTTAAACATATGTTTATCGTTTTAAATGCATGGCCATAACAATATGAATTCTTCGTTCAATTTCAACCAGTTGAAATGAAATGCGATGACGCCATATTGCCTACCTGGTCTAATATCCGATTATCGTATACTCACGGAGGATAAATTTGATCGATGATTTCAATATTGACACTACTCCGCCAGCCGTTCCGCACGTTGTAACCAATAATTTATTGGCGTTGTAATGCCATTGTATGCAATAAAGTATTGGGTTGTAATGGGTCTACGATTAATCCAAACGTTAATCCTAATCCAAACCTTAATCCTAACCTCTAACCCCTAACCTCCTAACCCCTAACCCTAAAGCCGGCGGCCCGCTACCCCTCCGGGGAAAATACCCTACCGCCTCTCCACCATCCACCAAGCTAAGCCAATTACATTTATAACTAAAACTTTTGTCTAATAATGCTTGTGGTTTTGTCTTCAGTTACAACCCAATACTTCATGGCATACAACGGCATTACAACGCCAATAAATTATTGGTTACAACGTGTGGAACGGGTGACTCCGCAGTCAGCGTTATCCTGGACCATCCCAGCGGATATTTTCGCATCATGAGGATATATTAGTTGCATGATATCAAGAGAAAGCAAAGGCTAGGACGGCAGCAAAACGACAACTTGTACAGCTCTAGAAGTTGGTACTAATTCATCAGTGAAGTCGACTCTTGCGAGTTAACGTAGCTGCTATATTGCCTATACTCTATCTATCTAAACTTACAATTTACCCATGCAAAATTCCTAATGTGATCACAGAAACAATGATAGTGTGTAAACCAGACTTAACAAATGCACAGCCCTTATCGAAGCTGCTCTGTTTCTGAGGCCGGTTGTACGAAGGCCGGATAGCGCTATCCACCAGACAGTGATTTTTCAAGCTTTGTTAAATCTCGTATTAAAGTTTAGTATTTATAAGATAATGTTTTTTATACTTCTTGTGTCGTCTATATCCGTAGTTTCACAGTTTTTCAAGCATTTTACAAAGGTTGAAAAAATCGCTATTCTGTGGATAGCGCTATCCGGCCTTCATACAACCCACCCCTGTCTGGTAACTTATTTTGTTCGTTTTGCTGCTGTCCTAGCTGCTCTCTCAATGTTTGGGTGCAACGCCAAGTGATGTCCGTAGTTTTTCATAAACAACATAACTTATACTGACTGCAGGAATTACTTTCATAAAGTTTGGAATAATCCCTCTATAGAGTCCACGCAGACCGTCCGCTTGCCAGATATTAGACACTAATACTCGCACAGTTTCATGACGACCTACACCCGCTAGAGGTAAGAACGAAATCATGGTTAGTTGCAGAGGTTTATTATGACCACTGAGCTCTCTATAATCTGGAGCAATCTGAAGTAAGAACTTCACTCATTCGGTCTATGAAACAAGTGAAGCCAAGATGGCGGCCATTGACGTCCAATTTCTACGAACGTCGTAAACAGTTTTTATACCATATTTCCCAACTAAATGTAGTTTTTTCTAACGGACCGTATTGCTAATCAAGTTTTCAGTTCATAAAATCATCATATTATTCTTTAAATCGAAGTCAAAATTCGAAATTTCGGCACACTCCTTGCCAAGATGGCGGAAATTGAAGGAGCTATTGGACGTCAGTTCCAGTCCCTTTTTATTGTTTTTGTATGCGCGGTTCACGAAACTGGACTTCACTCGACTCCAGTTATATATAGAGCTCAGTGATGTGACTGAACTCAAACGTCTACTGTAGGGGTGAGTTCAAATTCAGACTTGAGGGGGGGGGGGGCTAAACTAGTTTAGTTATATGTGACGGAGAAAAACGTTCTTGCACTTACTTTGTGCTTGAAGTTTAGTTCTGATCAAAGCGAGAGGATAGCTTGCTAGTTGACCACAAGTACTAGATATCGTTCCACATGCTAGTAAAACCAACACTCCCGGGTCTGCTGATTCATTCTTGTGGTAATTTAACCATCTTTGTTTCACAGTCTGCAATAAAGGCAAATATAAACTGAAATTAAACCAACTTTATAACGGATAGCTCTATTAGCTCAAAACTGTTCAGCTTTTAATTTAAGATAATTTATACGCATGCATCAAAAACTAAAAATAGTCAAACAGACATATACTTACAAAAAAAACCGCTTAAACCTTCAAGTTCTGACTTAAGTAGGATGAAGGGATGATCGCGTTTTCTTAAAATATTTTGTCCAAAGCGGATTTAAATAATCAGATTAAAATAAATCGTTTACCTCGTATACAGCCAGGTCTATACCAGCATACGGTATTATTCCTATCAAGCTAGGCACCAGTCCTCTATAGAAACTTCGAATACCCTCTTTCTTCAAGATGACTTTAGTAGCGTGTAGTAGACCATTATACTGTCCTGTCCTTGCTAACGCCAGCCGCGTTTTCAACACCTGAGACAAGAGAAAATTCAGCTCATTAGAATAGCGAGCGCGTAGTCAAAACTCCTCGCGGGCTTTCTCTTGAAACTCGAACGTGTCCTTCGTCAAATAATGCTACTAACTTCCTCGCTCGAAACACTATTCGTAGAACTTAGTTAAGTATTATTTGAGTTGTTGTTTGGTTCTCCCAAAATCGATGGTATCAGAATTGAGAACTATAACTGTTCCTGTTAATTGTTCCTTCTGTCAAAGGTGTGTGATCAATCCTGTACACCATGCTCTTCTATATTGTATGAACACTACTACCCAGAGAGAGTATTGGTGGACGTGGACCACAGATAACTTATCTGAGATATAATGGTACTGTGCTGAGTAAATGCAAAATTCACTCTTTGAACCCTTTGGGTGAGAGGTTTCCATTGACTGTAGTTGAGATTGTGTAATTGATATGCAAATTAGCTTGAGGACATTTTTCTTATATTTTATCTATATACATAACTATTTAAATTTTTTTGCAACTCTTCAGTAATGGAGGCAATAAAATATTTTACTTATGGAATTGTATTTTATCTTTTTCCGGTAGTTTCTTCACCAGAACAGCGCCTTACCTCCATGGGGTAAATTGACGATTGTGAAGCAATGCCCGCTAAAGATCCAGCAATCAGTCTTTGCCATGGTTCTATCTGCCCATCGTGTGTCATAAATAATTTCTTAGCCTGGAAAAAGATTATGGGGTTGAAATTTTTGTGATAAGAATAAGACAAATAAGAATTTAAAACGCAATACAATATTGTTTTACATTTAAAGATAAGGCATGGATACTTCTAGTAAGTTTGACTTTCAGTAAGGTACAGTAGATGTTGTTGTTGTTAGGGACCAGTCATAAAATAACTGCTAGGGTGGGCTGGAGAGATTTGGGATGGGCCATGGAAAATCTTTGGGCAGTTTCGATGGGCCGCCAATTTTTTGGCATGTCCACGGTTGGGCCACCAAACAAAAACCCATGTTAATTCTATATTATATAAAGATATTAATAATAAAAGTAAACAAAACTATCCAAATTATCAAATGCAAATATGATGCTATTGAAGCCAGTACTTTGTTTTATACAACAAGAAGTGATCGAATCAGTGGTGATGAATGTGTTCGTCAAGCTTGGTGGAATTATGTATGTCAATACAGTGCCGGTGTATATTTACAATGTTCATACCTGCAAGTTTTTTTATTATAAAAGTGTATTTTCCCAATTTAGATTGGGTGGGTGGGTCATGAAATAAATTTGGCAAGATTAGATGGGCTTTGAAATTTTTATCTACATCCTAAGATGGGTCACCAAACTTATTGGCAAAATTTGTGATTTACCTCCAGCCCACCCTAGCAGTTACTTATATGTAGTCGCTTATATGTAGTGGTTTTGTATTTGGAGGCAAATGAACAGAAATGAGAAATGTTTAACTCGGTGGCACAATCATCAAAGCAAGCGACTTTCACCTCTGAGATGGATTCTCGTTCAAGACTCAAGACATTCACGTGAAAGAGTGTCAACTCTCTACCGAAAGTCGTGGGTTTCCTCCCACAATGAATGTTAACAGGGTGGGTTGGGACTTAGTAAATATATATGACATGGTTTAGAAACCCTTTGTTTTAGGTGATTGTGTACCTTGTGCAGGGTCACGGTTAAAAATCCTTTGTCTTTCTATTGTTTGACAATAGTCAGTTCAGACAGCTTGGCGTAAGGAATGGGTACTAACTGTTTGTTTTGCCTACCAGGGGCTGGTTGTTCAAAGCTGGTTTAGCTGAACCCTAGGTTAACGTAAAATTCAAAGCAAACTTCCTGACTGCTTGTCTATAAATTTGGAAATATTTCTTCAGAGATCTTGTCTGGATCGATAGGAGTTTACTTCTCTGAAGTTTTGAAATAAACAGACGTGTAGAAATACACAAACTAAAATAGCAGGTTAAATTTTAACCCAGGGTTAGCGCTAACCCACCTTTGAACAACCGGCCCTTGAGCTATATCTTACGACATATTTTGCCAATAACGAAGTATTAATACCATTTTTCGATGGAGAATGTTTGTGTTACATCGTTTGGTCAATTCTCATTGATTAAAACCAATATGTGCAGGGTTAAACAGACTGTTCAACCTCCATGATTGTTTATAGCCTAATTTCTTTGAAGTTTGCCGGGTTTCCTAACCAGGTCTTGTAACAACCATGGTTGGGATTAGCCCCCTAACTGACCCTTCCACAATAACTGTGCTCCGTGTTCAGACAAAAGTCATCATGTCAGGGGCGCCCTTAGAAAGCCTTCACTCGATCAAATTGAGCTACGTTGTTCGCAATTCCGCTGGGAGTAAAGATGATTACGCAACCTACTTACTTGCATAGAATTCTGAAGTGAATCACTATGTAACAGAAACTCATCAAATACACACTACCTTTTCATACGCAAAAAACTTGACAGCAGATTCAGGCGCAATCTTGATAACATTTGCACCATTTCCTCGCCATAGCGACCTCACTCCACCTTCCCCCACCAACTTACGCATGCCTGAAAACACTCCTAGATTGTTTCTGCCTGTCGCCTTCACCTGAAACGAAACGGGAGTTTAAAACTCATGTTGTCACTCGCCTGACCATTAATAATCTAAGTTGTGAAACTCATTAATAATTCACGAAGAAAACACAAAAGAAATCACGATCGTAAAGGAGTTTGTATATCTGATACAAAATCATGCTGATTTACATAAATCCTCACCAAATATCATTCATTTACTTTAAATTGTTGAAGAATGTTGTCATCAAGACCATCCTTGCCTTCGGCTCGAGTTTGTATATCCGAAAAAAACACGGCAGCTCAGCTTTGTCTATTACTATCTATTACTTCAAAAATTTTCAATATAATACAATCTTTTGTCGAAGACAAACAAATTTTACTCAATCATTGAATATATATTCTTCATCAGATAAGGGCTAGGTTTATATATTAGAGTTTCCAACCTTGCCATTTGAGCGAACCAGAACATTTTACCAACCTGTAGTAAGACTTTCAACCGATCCAGTGGAGCAGTAAAGGTTCTAGACACTAGAAAACAACGAGGAACATATTTCTCAAATCTAACTGTACAAAGCCTGTTTGTTCTTGATATTGAAAATATTTTGCAATGAACGTCAGTTACCTACTCCAGCACAAGCACCAGCTACCAACTGTCTCCACCACATTCCTGTTACTTTTTCTTCAACTGTAAACTCATCTGGAATTGTGAAGTCTTCTCCTATATCTATGTACTGGCAAATATACTTAGTATCAGACTGCGCTCTTATCGGGCAGGAGGACAGATGGTCCGCTAAGAGGGGGCCTCTATGGAGGGGGCTGGTTTTTTAAGGGGAGGGTGTGTGGGAGAAAGAGAGAGTTCCAGGGGGGAAGGTTTTTCAGGTAGAGGGCAGACTTTTCAGGGAAGTAGTTGGGCACGTTTTTCAGGGAGGGTGGGGGACTATTGGGTCGCAGATTACCCAGAGGGCTTTAGGGAGGGGGAAGGTCAGATTTTCCAGGGAGGGGGAAGGTCAGATTTCCCAGGGAGGGGGAAGGTCAAATTTTCCAGGGAGGGGGAAGGGCAGATTTTCCAGGGAGGGGAAAGCCAGATTTTCCAGGGAGGGGGAAGGTCAGATTTTCCAAGAAGGGGAAAGGTAAGATTTTCCAGGGAGAGGAAAACCAGATTTTCCAGGGATGGGGGAAGGTCAGATTTTCCAGGGAGGGGAAAGCCAGATTTTCCAGGGAGGGGGAAGGTCAGATTTTCCAGGAAGGGAAGGGGGTTAGGTTTTTCAGGGAGGGGAAGAGCTGATTTTCCAGAGACAGTGCATTGTCTATCATCAACATATCCCTAAATCTTGAATATTATTGTAAGCTGGGTAGCTTTATTTTGTCAATGGAGGGCCATTGCCCAGAATTTGTATGGTAGGTGAACAGCACTCTATGGCACACTCCTAGACCTGTGATAATTACATGTAACTTACACTTGAGTGTCTCCAAAACTGCATGATGTCATGCATTGAATGACCACTGGGGTTTAATAAATGATATTCTCTCCATTCATTCCAGTCTATCTTGAGTGAACCATCTGTATCCATACTGTCCAGAACCATCACATAAACACAATTTTATTTTCAGTGACAATGCAATGGGGTTAATCCAAGCTCATAATTTGTGTTTCAGGATGTGTTACAGGGCAGGAGGCATAGCCACCGGCAGGGGTATTGGGGGGTCCGGACCCCCACTTTTCTTCTGAATCAATTTTGTAATTCTTTCAAAACTGAAGAGAAACTGGGGGGGGGGGGGGTAACATCTTAATGTTTTCATCTATGATATAAAATATACATAATCTATGGCTTTCAGATTATCATGAAACATGTCTAAAATGCATGATCCGAGGGACTCTGTGCATTTGACGATTGCCCCCCCCCCCTCCACTCATTTGATGCTGGCTACATCCCTGCTTATAGGAACAAGATTTATATTCTATGTATTATTTTCCAAACATTAACAACATCATTTTCTCGCTAGATATACATACCATTTTAAAAGATAATGTACTTCACTGTCAGTGACATCTAGATTCATTTTCTTGAATGCTTTTTTAAGCTCTGTTATACTGATTAAACCTAAATAAAAATACATAGAATTAGAGAAAATCTACAATTTTCATTGTGTCACTAACACAATTCCTATAGAGCAAAAAAAATGTTGGATAAAATTGGCTTGCTTACCATTATCATCTATATCTATAGACTTAAAAACCAGCCACAATTTTCTCTCATGGTCTGACATATATTTTAGAAATTCATCAAATGATAAGTAACCATCTTTACTCTGATCACCAAGTGACATTATTTTCTTAAAGAAGAGAACTTATTAATTTTGCAAAATCTTCCAAGAATGAGGTAATTAGAGGTGGGGACATCTGAATGTTACGAGGTCAATATACGTAGTTTTATAGACTGTCAAGCATTTTTACAACAGATGAAAATCACTATCTGGTAGATAGCGCTTGACTACGATTCACTACCATGTATAAATACTGAAGCCCCGGTCAAACAAGGATGAGAGTTGATGAGAGTTGATGAGATTCTCACTTGCATTTGACCACCAGTTCTCATTGATTTTGAGCTGGTTCAAATGTTGATACGAGTTTTTGCATGTGCACAGTAATATCCCATCAACTCTCATGCAACTCTTGTTCTTGTTTGACCAGGGCATTTGAGTTGAGAAAATTCCCATGCAAACTCTTGCTTCTCAACTCTCATGCAACTCTTGTTCTCGTTTGACCGGGACATGAGAGTTGAGAAAACTCTCATGCAAACTCTTGTTTCTCAACTCTCATGCAACTCTTGTTCTCGTTTGACCAGGGCATGAGAGTTGAGAAAATTCCCATGCAAACTCTCACTTCTCAACTCTCATTTGACCAGAGCTTTATTATATATTTGATCAACATTTAGAATGGCTAGTTTTTCACAATACTGCATGCCACCAAATTTAGAGTATATAACAATATTATTTTATCACTAAATCGTTAAGTAAACAGGTAAATCTTTAGCTAATCTAAAAACAATTATAAAACAATACCAGGGTGTTAATGGTGTTAATATGTCATGCATCAGTCGTCAAGAAATATCCAAGCTATTTCAAAATATCATTTGCATTGTAGAACATTTTAAGAACAAAATACGATATCAGCTATCTCAAAATAAACTTTATTTTCAAAGCTTAACTAACAGGATTATCTCTGGAAATAAAACTATTGTACAGTACAAAAATATATTTTTAATATATATATTAATACTTTATAAATTTATAAAGCTTTATATTGGTTGCATTGTACTTTATAGCAAGGGAGTTTATTAGAAGCCAAGGCAAGAAACACCTCGCTGTACCTTGCTGAAAAAGCAGCATAATCCAGAAAAGCTTAACATTTTTTAAAAGAAGATAAATAAATTATAAAACCTACTTTCAGCTGGCCCTTGGAGTGTCTGACTCGAAGTCGCTTTAAACCAGACGCCAGTTCGTCAGCATCGATTTTCCCGTCATTATTTCGGTCTAAATCTTTAAAAAGTCTTTCAGTTCTGTCATAGTCGTGTTCGTATCCTTTGTATAAGTCTTCCTTATCGTTTTCTGTATCTTGACTATTTTCGCTTGTTGATTCCGCCATCTTGAATTTCACATTAGATTTCCGTCGTCTGGTACGTATCGGCCTGTGTCGGCTGGACTTTGAACACGCGCTTAATTTCAAAACTCAGCAATTCCAACTCATTACCATAACCCTAAACTAATCCCTAATCTGAACACTTTGATCCTGACCCCACTTATGACCAGGGCTGCAAAAGAGGGGCAACCCCCCCCCCCTGCCCAAAGCAACATAATTATATAGGCACCTCTGTATAGGCACTGAGTGCTGGACAATATACAATAAAGCACAATGAAAAATAAGGGGGATCCTTGGAAAGTTTTGTTGAGGGCCTGCACAACCTCTTGGTGGCCCTGACGCTAACCAGGACCACTGTGCCAGGACACATTTACAAGATATATCTTATTGACGGCAACTCCAAACAGGGCGGATATATCTTATAGACAATGTGCTCTAACTTATTGCTGCAAACATGTCTTAGATGTCTAACACAACAGAAGAATTTTAGTTTATTTATAAGAATTTACAACAAGAATTTAGCAAGTTAGAAAGCATAGACTATGAATTCTTGGCTAGTGACATCCGTCAGTAGACTACATGAATAGTCAGAATGTTGTTACTTCTTTCCACCACCAAATGGCTGTCCTTTATCCTTCCCTCTCAACTTTAAGCCTACATAAGACATTAAAACTATGGATAGGGCAAGTGGCATTTGACACACACTGACATTGTACATTTGTTCTAGAAGGTCCAAGTAGTATTTGAATAATGAAGTTTTAATGACCTTTAATGCTAGCTAAATATCTTATTGTCGATTTCAAGTCACTTTTCAATGCACAGCCAAGTTCATTGCAAACTTGCCAATTACGTTTCCAAGTTCAAAAATTGGGCATGAACTTTTGCAACGTTTACTTCAAAAGTTGAAATTGACAATTCAATGGAAAGTTCTTGGTCCAGTGGGCTACAAAGAAGGTTTGTATTTCATTGAATTGGTTATTATCATTGAGTATGACATTTGTTTACAAACGAAGGTCAAACATTGAAATGAACTTGCAAACTTTGTTGCGAAGTCCGTGCCCAATTTCCGAACTTGGAAACGTAATTGGCAAGTTTGCAACGAACTTGGGAACCCACGTTGAAAAGTGACTTGAAATCGACAATGTGTCTTGGATGTAGCCAGGAAGAATATTCGAAACTAGCTTAAGCGTAAAAAAAAATACCTGTGGTTCCGGTTCCCGACCAACCCTATTTTTTTCTGCCGACCCTATTATTTTTTCAACGCGATTGACCGTGCGACCCTATTTTCTCCAGGTGGTTGCCTAAATTCATCCATAGGAAATATGCATCTCTAGTTAATATTGATGTTGGGACTCTACTGCAAATCGCCCAGCAAAAAACTGCCAAAACCATGAAAAAAATATTCAAAAAAAAATTTATTTCCGACCTACCGACCCTAATTTTTTCACGATATGAAACCGGAACCACAGGTTTTTTTAACCCCTTAGTACGCTTTTTTTAACCCCTTTTGGGCATATATACTCAATAGAACTAATGTTGTAGAAGCGTTTTGTAGAGGAAAATTTCGAGTGTAAATTTTATATGTTTATTAGACTAAACCAGGTAGGAATCAAACCTACGGCCCTGCAATTCCGGTGCAGCGCTCTAACCAACTGAGCTACAGAGGCAAGTTGTCGAGCTCTTATACCATATGATTCTACTTAGCATGCAAATTTAACATCTGTCAATGCATGCAAATTTAACATCTGTCTCTTAAGAAACAGCAGTTGTATTTGCATGATGTACTCAACTCATCAAGGGAGATGTATGGGCATTAATAACAAGTTAAAGCTGTACCAATTGCTCTTTCAATTTTCCCCATGATTTGATTGTTTGGGATCGCACGACCAGCTTCATAATCATTGACGACAGATGGTTTCTCATTAATTTTCTGAAAGTAAATTAGAAGTCAAACATTGCCTGTATGGTTTGTTTACATGGCAATTGAATGGGCACATCTTTTTCAATCTGCATTATGTCATGAGTGGCCATGTAGAAGATGTGACTAATCAGGCATCTAAGGTTTCATATACTACCGTAGCCAGATCTTTTTGGCTCATTTTCTTATCCACTCTTCCTTTTTGAATTATTTTCCCAACATCCAATGATACTCTTTCATCTGTAATTTCACACAAAACAATGTCAATATTTCAAAAAATACATGATTCTCTACAAAGCCATTTTAACATACGATGGAGTTCCTCTGTTTCTCTGTCGAGCTTTGCAGTGTCTTTTGATGACAGGTGTTGTTTGTTTTGTCCAGCTGAAACTAAGAAAAGACAATGAAGTGAGATACAATGATATAATCAGTGGCAGGGTTGCACCTTATGTTAACGAGGCCACACCCAAGATGCACTTTATGTTAACAAGGCCACACCCAAGATACTGGCGTATCTTGGGTGTGGCTTCATTCAAACAATGTCAAGCCAAACATTGAAAATACATTACACCACTTAGCTTGTGCACAATATTTCCAGTAACACAAAGTGTTCATTTTGAATTTCATTATTTTACCTTTTGTCTGACTTAACAAATTGCAAATCAGAAACTTGGCAAAACTAGTGAAAGATAGGTGCTGAGATACATGCTGTTGATGCCAGTTAAGGCCCATTTCCACTCAAGAAAAATTTCCATGGACAGAAAATTTTCGGAATATATCATTGTTAAAAGTTGAAAATTTTCAACTTCAAAATTTTTTTCCGATGGAAAATTTGTGTCGGCCAATCACATTTTACAAAATTTTCTTTCTGCAGAAAATTTTCCACAGTGGAAATGGGCCTTTAGGCCCGTTTCATATGCTGTACTTCACATGTGCTGAATACATTAAGGACACTATTGTTTTTAATGTATTCGGCGCATGTGATCTTCGGCATACAGCACTTTAAAATGCACCCAGGGATGTTTACTATGCTTCGAGTTACTATTGTTTTCAAAACCGCTCTATTGATATACTTCATTTAGCTTATGTAGGTAGCAAAACCATATTGCAGTTAATATAAAAGTCAATGGTGAATGGTCGAACTACACCATAATCAGGGGGGGGCAATGTTGAGAGCGTAATAAATTATCAAATATCAAAATTGTTATATACTTACATTTTTTGGATGTATCAACTGTTTTGCCGTCTCTTCTGGCTGCCTGAACAGCCTAATTGAAAATAAACACCAGATATAACTTATCATCTGCAGTGCAGTTAAAATACGTAACCACTTCAAAAATACACACGAATAATTTCAGTTGAAATTTTACCTGTTGAGAACGCATTTCTCCAGCCTTTGGAGTCCTTTTGGTTAGATAAGTAACTTCATCCCACCCTACTTCTGCCATTTTGGTTTTAAAAGGAAAAAATATCGATATTTTCTTTCAAAAAACGTTGTAAAATTTCTATGTTTTCCAAGTATGGTGTAATTCGGGACTCGGAATTACTCGTAAACGTACGGAAAACAATCGCGCCATCTTCGGGAATTATTTTTGTAGTAAAAAACACAGCAATTTAATTGGCGGATATCACGCACGGAAATCTTAATTCTGATTGGCTGGAACTGCTACTAATCTTGAAAAATAACGGAAATGTTTTGAGCAAAATGTTTTTGCAGTCACCTTTGAACTCATAATTAGAGGTTTATCACCTACTAATGTTGTTCTTCATCAACTTTGTTCTATTAAGTTCTTGGAACATTCGTCTAAGTTAGCAGGGTTGGTTCCACTTTATATACTTTATATACCGTTCCACTTTACCGTACAGTAGTCAACCGCATTTACCAGAGTGAGAAAATAATGTGAATTCTCTTCTTTATAGGATAGAATTAGAATAGTTTTATTTTTATTACTAGTGTTAACTTCGACTAAATTCAGTTTTTTGCTACAAAGTCTGCTTCGCACGAGACAAGCAGGAATGAAAAATTTTACCTTTGGCACTTGCAAAGATAAAGCGGACAGAGAGGTTAAGATTGACGTTCACGGTAGACCAATAATGTTGCGGAAACTTCAAGTCGTATTTTGAGATCAACTGCAAGCTGTTCCAAGTTCGGACAATTTGTACATTAAAATTGAAGAATGAATTGACTACAATAAAAACTTGTCGAAACCTTCGGAAACTTGTAGAACTTGCCTTCAAATGTGAATTGAAGTTTGTGGTTAGTGGTCAGCCGTCAATGTCAATCTTAACCACTCCAATATGACAGAATAAAGACAGTCTCTATTCTGTGCCAATGTTGAAGGGTTTTTTAGATGGAATTTTCGAGTGTGAATTTTATACGTTTATTAGCCCTATCCACGAACACTCGAAGTTTCCTTAGTTTCCATCTACAAAATCCTTCAACATTAGATTGAATGGAGCGAGATGCCTAGTAACTGATCCGCAGAAAATGTCTTTCCCCTTATACACTAGCCTGCTTTAGATCGATTGTACTCTTTGTTATATATATAATATTTAAAAGACAAACTTGAGTTACTTCGTTTAAAACATTTATTCACGACCAATTTGTTTCGTATGCCGCAAACTAGGCTTGCCACACTTATCTGATGAGTGTGGCAAGCCTAGTTTGCCATAAGAAACAAATTTGTCGTGAGTTTGTCTTTTATTTGCTCTACTTTTGTATCGAGCACTCTATTTTAGGTAGTCCAAGAACCAAAAAGTGGTACGGTACCAAAAATTGAGCGTAGTGTAAACGGGGCTTAGCTAAATAGGTAGTCCAAGAACCAAAAAAGTGGTACGGGTAACAATTTTATCCGTGCCGTACCAAAAATTGAGCGTAGTGTAAACGGGGCTTCAATATACTTATTGACATTCGCCTATATAATACTTATATTATTAGTGTGTGTTATGTTACTTTATTCATGTACCTTTTAAATTTGCACGCCCTCCTTGGAAATCAGCATTTGCTGAAGGAGTAAGCGTGTCTAAAAATAGTAGTTTATCTTATCTATCTTATTATTTGTGCTTAAAGGCTGGTTCACACAAGCAATTTTGTCGGTGATTTTGTGTTTCTGACGGATGCAAATGAGTGAACTCGCACACAAAAGTATAGAGTCGCTTTTTAGAAGTAAACAATTCGAAGTCTTTTCCATGTCATTCATTCAATCACATTTGCCAGGAGGAGAAAAATCGCCGAACAGAATGGACCTATTCCCTAATGAACAAAATTATGATCTAGACAAGTCTATACAAACATTTCATCACAGCATGAAAGAGCATCACAAAGTTAGTAATATTCCGAAGTTTCGTTGCGAAATGTTGTAAAATGCGGATAATATGGCACTGCGAAGTTTGCCGTTTTTCAGTCATTTTGTATTGCGCACGGGAAATTGATACCTTTTTTCAGAAAGCGGTATCAATTTCTCTTCGCAAGGCTATATTATCCGCATTTTACAACATTTCGCAACGAAACTTCGGAACATTACTAACTTTGTGATGCTCTTTCAAGCTGTGATGAAATGTTTGTCTAGATCAAAATTTTGTTCATTAGGTAATAGGTCCATTGCTAGGCTATTGCTAGTGTGAACCCAACTTGGTGCGAACCAGGCTTTAAAGGACAATGGCAATAAATTTTTTTATTCTCGATATCTATTAAACATACCTACGGAATACTTAATTACGTATTTTCACTTGTCTATCGCGTTTAGTTGTTCAGAAATATCATAAAACTTTCGACAGTCGTCCGCCATCTTGAAAAAAACCTGGTATGCTAATTTATGTGAGAATAAATTTGTGACGTCAAGAGCAGGGGAAACAAATATTGTCAATATAAAATAGTATGCTTGCGAACACATTCTACGAAGATTTTGACCAAAATGTGCGAATAAACTCCAATTTTTTTTGTATAACTGCGTAAAAATTTAGCGCTACTACTCTACTGTGTGTTTCAGCTGTGTTTTTAAAATAAACGCGTTGATTTCGGCGGTAAAAGCGCTTTGATTATAAA